CAAGTGCTATTGCAAGTGTTGTAACTGTTAGCATTTATGCCCGTATGCGAATAAATGTAACGATGTTCTTTGAGACATTTTGACTATTAATAAAGATTTATTTATTTCATATATCTATGTATTGTCCTCTTTATGTTCATATTAGTTGAATGTATGCTAAGCAAACTAAAAGTCTGAGACTGTCATTCTAAATCTTTAGGTCATGCATGTAATGTGAAGAACATGCGGAAGACAGGAATCTAAAGATGATAGTCTAAATCATATGATCCACAATCGAGGGAATAAAGTTGGGCGCTTTATTCATTTTAAGATTGTTATGTTGTCTACTTCCTAACGGAGACAGCTTGTCTTGGTCGTCGGAGGTAGGACTCCATGGGTAGAGACATTGATATAGTTTCTAATGGTGAAATCTATATTGAATCGGACCAAAGTTGAATTATTTTAATTAATAATTTGTTTGAGTAAAACAATTCACTTTTGACGAATTATATGTTGTCATCTTAATCCTGAGATGGATAATGAACCCGTATGCTTGACTTGTATCCTTTGATGTACTAAAGGGAGACATCCTGACATTATGTAAAGGTATGCTTACCGGTACATTGGGGGTATGACTCGTGTATGCGTAGATTCATTATTCATAGATAATAGAATCCATAGCTCCTATAAAAAGTCAATGATATCCTCTTATGCATTATCAGTGGATTGAAAAATACGAGCGCTCGGCCATTAGACTACTATGTGTTATCTAATGGTTTATTGTTTGTAAGGTACGAATAATGGTTTTTTGATGGATTGATAATGGAACATAAGATAAATGTAATCGGGAAGGTAAAACGGAACTTGATCTCAATTCGATTATGGATATCTATGGGGATGATACACTAATATATTGAGTCATGGAGGAGAGCTACTAAGAGCTTTGTAAATACGCTATATAAATCGAGAGTGCAACTCTAGGCATTTAGTGGAGTAGCGCTAGAGTATTATAATCATGAGACGGACTTGTTAGTTTACAAGTGGCGTTGTGATTATAGGAGCTTGATTTATATATGTCCATCGGGTCCCTTTGCTAGCTCACATAATTTCCTGTAACGATACGATGTATCTCCTAAATATTGGTAACTTGTGGTTATTTCCGTAAAAGAGGTTCAAAGTTAATAGGAGGTTGGTTAATTAATTCATGAGTGATTTATCGGGTGAATTAATTGTTAAATTAATTCTAGATAAATTGGTTGAATTATTGTTTTAAGAGTTGTTTAATATGGGAAGACTATTATATGACTGTTTTGATCAGGCATTTTCTCTATTGGGTTGCTTGAATCAAAACTGAGACTCTGTGCAAGTTTCCCGTGTTGATGAACTAGGAAAACAATTATTCCCAGTGCAGACCGGTCGACTGGTTCATGAAGAACAGGTCGACCGGTGAGTTATAACATCTCTGTCACCGGTCGACCGGTTGTAATGCGTAGCGCGTGCTGCCATGGCAAAACTGACTCTGTATGCGAGATAAATTTTGGAAAACCTAATTGTTACGGAAGTATGACTTCCTAAACACTATAAATAGCCCAGTAAGTCACATTATTCATTAGATCATTAGAGAGACTTTTTGGATGCTATTGATAAAAGATTCCTGAGAGGAAAAATTATTTAATTCTCAAGAACGATTTTTTCTTTGTCTCTCTTGTGGTTGGGAGGAGTTCAAGAATACCAAAGGGAGATTGAACAACGTGTGCCCACCCGCACTCCAATCGTGGAAACGAGAATAGCAAAGAAGACCAGTTGGTTAAGGCTCTTCTGGTCGCTGTTTAGAACGCTTTGATCAGTCAGACGTGCAGTTTCCTAAATCTCAAAAGGTATGATTTAGATCTTTAGTATTTATGTTATATAGCATCATGAACATGTTCTTGGTTTGCTTTGACGTTGATTAAATTTTTTAAAATTCTGCTGCGCACTCGATGCCCTTTTTTCCAACAGCAACCTCTAAGAGGAAATGCAAGCGTACTTCCACAGTTTGGAAGCACTTCGACATATTTGAGGAGGTCGACAAGGACGGTAACACTAAACAAATAGCTCAATGTAAATATTACTATTCTAATTTATAAGGTGACACTATTCTTGGCACAACACACTTGAGAACACACTCTGAAAAGTGTCTTCAAAAGCGTGGCCAAACCGGCGGCTCCGAACTCTACCAAACACAATTATCATTTGATCGCGCAACCGGTGGTCTAACCACTTGGAAATACAATTTGCAAGTAGATCGTATGAAACTTGTACGATTGATATCAACATTAGATCAGCCACTTAGTTTTGTCGAGCATCCTAATTGGCACCATTATATTAAAATTGTACACAATCCTAATACACAGGTTTTTTTTTTTTTTCAAAAATTACTCTTAAGAAAGATTTGTTAAAATTATTTAAACAAGAACAACAAGCATTAATCAAGCTTTTGCACTCTACTAGCGGTTGCGTAGCGTTAACGGTAGATATTTGGTCTGCCATTACCAAAAAAGATTATTTATCTGTAACCGGACATTATTTCAAAGGTTTCAATTTAGATAAGAGAATATTAGGTTTTAAATGTGTTCTAGGATCACATAGCGCCGATCTAATATATAATATAATTTTAAATGTCATTTATGAATATAGATTAAGGGATAAAGTGGTTGCTATAGCATTAGATAATGCTATTGCAAATACTAAAGCAATTGAATATTTTAAAAATTATTTAAGTTTATTCAGTGATGGTATTATATTTCACCAACGTTGTGCATGTTATGTAATTGATTTAATAGTAAAATCTGGTTTAAAATCAATGGTTACTCACATTAAAAGAATTAAAGATAGTATTGCATAGATTCAAGGTAGTAACCAAAAAGAACAAGATTGGATTAGGTTCTTACAAGCAGTAAATCTAACTCTTAGAGCATTAGCCCTAGATATGTCTGTAAGATAGAACTCAACTTATATAATGCTTCAATAATGCCTCCCCTATAAAGATGCTATAATAAACTATATCAATGCAAAATTAGGAGTATGACATATAGACTAATATAATTAACAAATTATTGAAATTTTATATTAATTTTTAAGTAGGTTTCGTAAAGTTACTTTAAAACTTAATGGAACATAATGGTTGTTGTAGGCTTTATTCCCTACAAAAATAAAAGAAAACCATTGTCAGCTCATATCAATTACTTCTATCAGATTTTTTGTCCATCTACATCTAGTACATGAAAAACCATATGAATGTAGAAATGTTGGAAAAAACAATGGTGTTTAGTAAATAACAACTATTTTCAAATCAAATTTAATAATATGATGTGGCTTTTAAAGTAGTTGGATGTTAAATGATAGAAATACATTGATAAGAGATTTAAATGATAGAAATACATTGATAAGAGATTTAGACTTGTACTTTAAAAAGAGCTCATAAAAATGTTGGAGAAATTTGTGGTAGCCTATAATAAAAATACTCTATCGTTGGACATAGTTTTAATTAATCATTATATTTTAATCAAGTTTCGTTAATTATCATATACTTACAAACTTGAATATTATAATATTATTATGACGTTATTTGATTGTTCAGATCAATTGTGCTTCACTGGTAGAGTTTTTTTCTTACCTACGACACAATTTAAAAAATATATATATATATATACATATATATATATATATTAATGTAGCTCATACTTATGTTGAAAAGTCAGGATTTCCCAGAAAAAACAATCTTAAATAAATAAGAAAAGGAGAATTTAATCGCAGGCTGAGAGAAAAAAATTATGATAAAATACAGTGTTTAGATCCCCGTTCATTTTACCGATTTGAGTTTTGTTACAGTAAAAAGCTCTCAGAAATAGTCACATATAACTTTTTTGTTACAGTAAAAAAACTCTACATAAAATCACGTCTCAATTTGAATTAAAAACTCGAATCACTAAACGGGCATTTAATGATTAAGTCATATCAGAATCTTATTAGACAAAAAAAAAAAAAAGACAATTTGACGAAACTTGACCAAAATTTGATGGTTAAAAATTATATCCTACTCCTTAAAAAAACTATTTTCTACCAATAAGGTACTTTTTTCATACCCGAAAAAAAAAAAAAAAGATCCTCCAATAAAAAATCATGTTTAACTTGAAATGAAGATGCTACCATAGGTACCTCTTGATCAGTTTTGCCCCAAAAAGAAAAAAAGTACAGCTAGGTCATTGCTAATAACTTGTTTTGCAACCAAAAACAAAAAAACAAAAAACGAGATTCTTATCGTAAGTTATGGAAAAATACTCTATCAGTAGGATCATATTTTGGTTGTTAAATCTATATCATGCTCAGTTAAGTTTGTATAATTTTCCGTTTTGATGTGATTTTGATCAAGTGTACTATATGCATATGGTAAGTTATACTTTACCATCCCACCCCAAAAAGCTCCCAAAAACACCTTTTTTTTTTTTTTTTTTTTTTTTTTTTTTTAGGGGAACGCTGTCAAATTTCAGGTGAATCAGAGTAATACTATGTATATGAAGCATTTAAGTATAATTTGCAGATATAAAATGGTATGAGTAAATAGTTGGACTTTATAGATCAGCACAAAAAAAAAAAAAAAAAGTTGGACTTTATAATTTATTCTCTTTTTTTACGGATTACTAGTAGAAGACTTTTTTACTTTTTTTTTTCCCCCCGGCTAATCAACCAAGTAGATGTCTTGAAACACCATTTTCCAAGCATTGAAATTATGGACCAACCAACTAAATGTGAACAACCCAAGAACCCAACGGCTTGCCGTTCCTTCCCTTCCTCTGTACTTGAAAACCCAAACCAAACAATCTCGTCAATTGTTTGTTGTGGAGTTATTTTCTGGTTATGTGAACGCCAACAATCCACAGTCCACAAAACGTTGCTCTCCCACCGACCGACCGACCGACAAACAGCAATAATCAAGCCTGTGCACGTGCATACATGCAAGTACGTCTTTCTTTGTGACAGTCTTCAAGACAAATAGATGGTACATATCATAAGTTCGTGTAAAGTTTCATGATTTAAATCCCCACTAGAGTATTCATTTCTTACAGAGGCGAGTCATCAATATAGCTAGCAAGTCCCATTTACGAGAGGTTACAGCACATAACAATGGGCTATTCAATACTACAAGGCTATTCAAATACTATGCTCTCAACATTGTACAACTGATGTGTCCTCAATGATCAGAGTTGGAAACAAAAGGAGCAAAAAGAATGAACCAATGCTACTGATACAACAACTGGATCGCCTATCTTCCTCAATTTTGGGTCCGAAGACGGCATACAACAGATGGCAAGCTAAAGCAGTTCGCGTAGCTTAGTCGTCTTTCCCCTTGCCCTTTCCTTCAACACCTTTGGCGTTTTCATATGCGGAAAGGAAGAATGTACTCTGATTTTTCTGCAAAAACCTGCATGAAAGCACCCGGTATCAGTTTACATAAAAGTTATTTTGATTCAAAAGTAGATTAACATAAACCTAGTAGCAGATCACCACCCAATAAAGCCTTCTGAAGATATTAGAAAAACGATATCAACAATTCATTCTTTCAGTTCAGAAACAGATCTTGTCAGTGACTAAATCTTACAGTGACAAGACGTTCATGATCTTTGCTTATTTCAATCTTAACGAAATTCAATCAGATATCAGATATGTAATTCCGACGAGCACGTACTTGAGAAAATCAAGTAGTTTCTGCTGTAAGCGGGTTAGCGTTTCCTCTTCAATATTTACGTACGCCAATAACTCTGGCAATTTAACTGCAGCACCATAAAATATGTCATGCAGAGAAACATTCCAAAACATGCAAATTATACATCCAAACACATTTCACTTCACATAATTCTAACATAAATCATCTCAGTTCTCTTGTATGATGAGTACTGTGAGGTCTCCGAGTTTGCTAGAGTGTGACCGTCATCACAGTGAAAAAGAAAAAAAAAGGGGGGGTGGAAGACTCAGAAAAACAAGAGAATATAATGAGGCGCAGGCCGTGGATCCAGAAACTATATGATAACCTGACTAGAGTGGATCCTTAGAAAGGAAATTCCTATTAGGAAGAGTACCCAAATCATGTGGCCGGGAGCATTAAGGAAATTCCTAGAAAGAAGAGTTTGCGGTAAAAGCAGTATCAAGGGGTCACTAGAGAAGCAGTATCAAGGGGTCACCAGAGAAAAATATATCCTAACCTGATAAGATTATGTTAGTAATTAGTAATCAATGTAATAAGCGGTTAGTGGTCTGTTACTAGGGTTGGTTTGTTATTAGGGAGGATGGATCAGAGTAAACTGGGAAAACCCTTGGGAGAGCTAGTAGACCTCTCGAACTTCTACCAATCTATCCTGTAATCTCTTTCAATTACTTCATCAATATAATTTTGCTTTTTTGTTCAATTCCTCAATTCAAGTTCGGTTCTTATCAAATTGGGTATCAAAGCGTACTTTCTTGGGCAAAAAAAAAAAAAGGCTAGAACGTGTGGACGTTGGCAGCGATTAGAAATGCCGATGTTCTCAGAAAAAGATCCGGATTCTTGGATCGTAAAAGTAGAAGAATATCATCTGAATAATCGATTTTCAGAACGTGAAAATGTCTGGTTTGCAGAGGAATTCACGGAAGGTGAGGCACTCGAGTGGTTTCAATGGGAGGACAGAAGTGCTTTTTAGATCAATATGCAACTTCGTTTCATAGCAACGCATGAGAGATTGCTCTTTGAGAAGAATGAGAAGGTTTGGCCATGAAACGTAATGATTTCAAATCTTCACGTTTCTGGCGGTAGGCCAACGCAACTAGTTCTGGAATCGCGGGAGAACGACAACGATTCGATCAATTTTTCGCAATCTGGTGCGAAATCGTTCAGATCTGAGACAATCGGCGGCAATTTGGTGGTGAAAATTGAGAATGCCAATACGATCATGGTTGGGGGTCAACAAGCTGGCAAGAATGGGGCTAGGTCGGGAAATGTTTGCGCGAAACCCAGCGCGATTGAGGCTAGATTCGGAGATCCCGGTGGGACTTGGACCGATACGCGCGATTGCAACACGGAGGGGCCCGATTCCAGCCAGATTTGGACCGGGTCAGGTGATTCCTCCAAAATTGAGTGGGATCCCAACCGAATTTGGACCGGCTTACGTGGTTCCAGAGCTCGCGATGAGGTAAGGCGAGCTGGTCTGGGCGAAATCGCCCCAGATCTCGAAGACCCACGGCGGAAGGGGCGATTTGATTGTGAGCTATGGTCGGAGGGGGAGCGGCGGTCTCGCGCGGCGACGTTTGGGGCTGGGCTCACAATTTCCGGCACGGCTGAGGCTGGGCTTGGCAATTTGGCTGCAGTTTGGACTGGGACACATGATTCCGGCGATGTTGAGGCTGTTTCCAGCCGGTATAGTAGTGACCCACTTTATTCCGGTGATATTATGGCTAGGACATGGAAGTTTGGCTCAAAACCTAGGGTCGGTGGGGCTGAGTTTCGAAATTCCAGCCAAATGAGGGTTGGGTCACGCGTTTCCGGTGTGGGCAGGTCCGATTCTTGCATGATTGGGTCTGGGCTGCGTAATTCCAACATTATTGGGCCTACTTCTGGCACAATAGGGGTTGGGCCTACAAATTTCAGCAAAAGTGGGACCAATTTCAACAAGATATGTAATGGGTCCTCAAATTTTGGCCCAAATTGGACTGGGTCTGGGAATTCCAGCACTCCTGGGGCTGGGGATGGAGAACTTGACTTCATTGGAGTAGGACTTGGACACTCTGCAAATGGGAGATCTGATATTTCTGAGTTTGTAACTCCAAAAACCAAAATTTCTATGTTTCTTGGACTAAACAATGGCTCCAATGGGCTCTCAATTACACTTATGTGGCACCTTTTCCGCCTTGGTTTGTCACCGTTGAAGTTAGCTCTTCAAGGATTGCGATGCCCTTCAACATTCTGAAAGGTGGGCTTGACGACATGGGAAGGAGATGGCGTCATTCCACTACAGTCACTTGACCACACCTTGAGGACAAGGTGTCTTGGGGAGGGGAGTGATGATAGGATTATGTTAGTAATTAGTAATCAATATAATAAGTGGTTACTGGTCTGTTATTAGGGTTGGTTTGTTATGTTTGTTAAGCTACTTAGTATATAAGGAATTGAAAGAGACTGAACGGGAGGATGGATCGGAGTGGGAAAACCCTTGGGAGAGCTAGCAAACCTCTCGAACGTCTACCAATCTACTTGTAATCTCTTTCAATTACTTCATCAATATAATTTTACTTTTCTGTTCAATTCCTCAATTCAAGTTCGGTTCTTATCATAACCCTGTACAAATAAATGCGCATCCACAGTTAAAGGGAGCATACCAAAGAGTCGTAGTAAATGTTCGGCACCATATATGGTTGATGGAGAGACATCATCTGAGACAACTTCATGAAATTGTTTGCGTTCCTTCTTATATAAGAGCATCATTGGCAAAGCTTTATCAAAGTAACATCGTATTCCTTTCAATATTTCTGATACTGAATCAGTTATCCTGCATCCAAGAAAAATCATCAGAATAGACTGGTGGACCCCAAAATGGCAAAAATTCAACTGTAAAAATGTTGAGTAACATTTATACATGTTAAAAAATGCAACGTAAAAACATGAAATTGAGGGAGTGGAGTTCTAACCAAAAAAGTTTTAAATATATATTTTTGAAAGTATGAAAAATTAGATGGACTACTTTTGATTGGGTGGACATGAATTACTAATAAAATGACTCTAATTAGTAGTTTAACACAAAAAGGAGAAAAATCTTACTGCATATTATAAAATTGGGGAGTAGTGACTCCAATTAGTAGTTTAACACAACAACAACAACAAAAAGAAAAATCTTACTGCACATTATAAAATTGGGAAGTCGTATTTAAATCAATATCCGAGTGAAAAGTAAAAGAACAAAAGTAACAACTAAATTACTTGACACAAAACAAAAAAACAAAACAAAAAAAAAAACAAAAAACAAAAAACCAAAAACAAAGGCAAGCATATGAATATAACTATAGAAACTACACTCAGACAAACCATAACAGGACTTGAGTTATACTTACACACTATCCTTCTTCGAACGATAATCAAGGTACTTTGTTATAATGTCATCAACGGTTGGTGAACGAGGAAGCTTGACCAGCTACAACAGTTAAATGCATAAATGGATGTGACAGCAAAATGAATTATATGTGCATGATACATTCATCGAGAAGTAACTGTGCAAAAATTTTGACAAGAAAAATGATTCGAATCATTAAAAAAAATAGATTCATCGCACACAATAAAACTAAAATTAATTATGATTCAAGTAGAAGTAACTAATGCAATTTCAGTTTTTACATAATCAACAGAATTAGGACATGCGGACATTCATGAGGTTCATCATAAGATTTTTTATGAAGTGTATGGACGCTCTTTTGACTCTTTGACAAAATGATCTAAAGAAGTATAGGTCAAGAAAGCACAAAAGATTAAATATGATTGTAGAAATAAATTGACTAAAGATGGTCCTAGTGTTATCTTCTGTTAAAGTATAAAACTATTGTTGGCCCACCTCCTAATAGTTTAAGCTTTTGGGATGGATTGGTAAACTAACATGGTATCAGAGCAGAAGGTCCTGAGTTCAAACCTCTGTAATTGCACTCTTTATCCCCATTTAAAATTGTCATCATGTGTTGGGTCTTTAATATATCTCGGGCTTAAATATTCACGTGTTGGGCTTTCCAATTAATTTACCCACACGATTGCCCATTGTCCAGCCCGCACGTGAGGGGGAGTATTAAAGTATAAAATTATTGTTGGCCCACCTCCTAATAGGTTAAGCTTTTGGGATGGATTGGTAAACTAACATCTTCCTTTTTTTTTTTTTTTTTTTGAAAAATGGAAATTCACAGATTTTCAGGAAGAATAATAGCCCTATCAATGATTACTCTTGAAAGTAAAATAATTTCCAAACTACCAATGATTTAATGAAACATCAATAAGAGGCAAGACATTCTGAAACTTGATACATACCTTATCCTGCTGATTAACATATTCATAATCATCAACAAGCTGCTTCTTAAGTGTTGCTGGTATTTGAATCTTGACAAGCTTTTCCAAGGATATGTTGTCCTTCTGAAAATCATGGAACCGCACTTAGTACAAGTTTATCAAAAGAAAGCCTGATCAGTGCAATTTGTAAGAGGCTAAGAGCTAAAAGAATAGTTTAAGTTCCTGGGTTACGCATCTGGTTAATTGTCTATGGTTATAACTTACGACGAAAGCTTTGTCCACACACACACACACAAATATGTATATGTATATACACTAAAAAGATCAACCTCCAGGTTGGATAATTAAACCTTTGTGTTCTCCATCATTGTTTTTATTCTCCTACCATACTAATGGGTCACCAGTGGAGAGAATAAAAACCTATGTATACGGCAAATTAATGATTTGGTTAAAAAGATATAATCAGAATCATAATACAAACCAGACCTCAGCACCTGAGTCACTCTTACGTTTCTTCCCCTTTCCCACTGCAATGAAAAACTATAAATTAAGAAATGGAAGTCTTCTGCCACGATAAATACGTTCTTGCAAAAACAAGTACTGTAAATATTACTTGCATCTTGATGATTTTAAAAAAAAAAAAAAAATAGCTACTCAACGAAACAAAGACAAGGGAGAAAAAGCTTTGAAGAAAATAAGGAGAAGAATGTTTTAAGATAATCAGTACCATTGGTCTTGACATCCTCTTTCTCAACTTTGGCATCTACAAAATGCAAGATATAAATATAATAACTAGTAAAGATAGGAATGACAGAAGGACAGTTTAAGTATAAAGTTAGAGCACTTTGAATGTTCATGCTTTGTATGAAAAAACTTTACCACCTCATACACTTACATTTTGAAATATATATATATATATATATATATATGCTTGTCATTCATGTTCTTTAACAGAGACATATCATTCAGTATATTTGGAGCTTCTAGCTTAAGGGTTCAATATTCGGATAAGCTAGAATTTCATAATTCACGGGGGAAAAAAAGGACTGGAAATACGTTTTATGGAATTTTGAGCCCATTCTATGATATTGATATATGACTATATGAGATGACTATAGCTGAAAAGAATATTTTAAGGAATTTAGTAGAAAAACATTGGAAAGCCATTTAGGGTTGTTGCATGAGCAACTTTGGTTGACTCAACAATTGTATGGCACTAAGTAGGCACCAACAGGCCCTTGACATTCACAAGCCAAGCGCTAGACTACTACAAACCCAGTGTGCTCAGTGTGCCGTGCAACCGGCCACCACACCTGGCACATGTAGTGGGCCACACAAGGGCAACTAAGCTAGGTTAGACCATTTCGAGGCTTTTTGGGCATTTTGGCCCATTTCAGTTAAGCCTTTGATATTCTAAGACGTCCTAGATATTTTTGAAGCACAGAAGATATTTTAAAAGTTTACGGGATTTTTATAAAATAAAATGATGACTTATCTTGTCATGATTATTGGATAAAAAAGAAGTCCTGAGGTGGCCATTCAAAAAGCAAGATGACAAAGATTAGTGATGACTCATAAGAAGCTAATACATGGCAACAGACTAAAATGGCTAGGTGCCATCACAGATTTAAAGACTAACCTATGCAACCATGCTAAATGGTTTGCATGCAAAGGAATCTAAACGACAAGCATACTAAGAGACACATAGTGCTAGATGGCACATATGCGAGGAAACTTGGTGTCAAGGATGCCAAATGATAAAAATAAGAGCCAACATATGATTAAAAACCAACCTAAGTGACCATTGCTTAACCAAAGTGAAAACTCAATCTTTTCATAGTCTTAAAAACCAAGAGTTTATTATGAACCTTTAATAATTCATAAATTTCCCCATCTTCTTAGTTCAACAAAGTAGGTAAGTAATCCCTTTCACTGCATCATAAGAACAATAGTACGTGTTTATTTTATTTATGAGCGGGTCTCCAAAGTTTATGTGATGTTTGTTAACATCCGTACTCTACATGCTTTCATGAGTTTACCAAACTATTATTTTATATGAGTATGATGTGAGCTCTCTCGTTAAATATGAACCCACCCAGTTAGAGAAATAATAGTCAAATCCTTGAGGAAAAGAAAGTCTAAGAGACTGGGTCGTCAAGTTAGGCTTCTAATAATTTGTGAGATTAGCATCATACTAGTGGTCCCTAGAAAAGTATTTGAAAGTGGACAGAGCTTTTAAGTATTGTAGTTTGCTTACTAAGCTTTATGCTAAATATAGTTGTTTTAATGCTAATAAGCTTTTGTGTAGACTCCGAGTTGTCTAAGCAAGTTGGTCCAGGAATTTGAAGTGTTACCATATGTTGACACTTGTCCTTATGCATGTGAGTAACTTGGTATCCTTGACACCAAGCTCCTTTGCATGTAAGCCATCTAGCACCACGTGTCCCTAAACATGTTTGTCCCTTAGATCCCTTGCATGCAAGCCATCTAACATGATTACATAGGTTACGCTTTAACCCTAAAATGACACCTAGCCATCTTTTTCTATTGGCATTCAGTAGACTCTTAAGAATCATCAATAATATTGGAAATCTAGCTGGCTTTTCAAGCCCATTTTAAATCGCTACTAGTTTGCTGGGCCACTTTAAGTTTAAAAAGAAAAATAAGGAAATGAGATAAATTGAAACCCTAGAAGGACTTTGAAGTCTGAATGGGCAGGGATAAAATCCCTATTAGTTATGACCTGGTTTACATAAATTAATGCTTTCAATTCCCTTCATTAATTTGTTGGATTACTCTGACCCTCCTCGTCAGAGTCTATAAGTATAAAATCATGGCCAAAGTCATAAACCTTGATGGGCAATAGGAAGGCCACCCATCCCCTCAGAACAACGTACTGATATAAAAAAAAAATACCCCTAAGCTAATAACTCCTTAACCTTGGCAAACAAGCCACAAAAGATCATTTTCAGGGGACACTAGAATAGAAATAACAAGAGTACAAAAACGAAGAAAACAAACCGTGGAACAATATCTAGATTTAAGACAACATAGCCAAATAAAAAGGAACAAATTTTACCAGCAGAGCTTTTAGGTTTGGTTTGAGCCGAACGGCCTGATTTTGAATTCTTGTCCACACCCTGCTTTTTGTCAAGGGTCTGCTGCTTTAACACGTTCTCTTCTGTATATTTCATCAGTCGATCGACTCCAACCCATTCGTCCCAACTGTTGGCAAGATGTCCAAGCCAGAGTAATGATTTCTGTATCCCCTTTCGGAAAGGGTATAATTATTAAATCAAAGGAAACATTTCTATTGAAGCTATACAAGCTTACGTACTCCCTAGATAGCATAAAGTGGATTACTCCACAAGAAGTTGGATAATATATTGTTTTTCTATTTAATATGGTGATTCTTCTGCAAGAAATCTCCATTTCTGTTCACCCAATCTGCCAAACCTGAGAGTAAAAACGCCAGCTATCGGCCTATTCTATGTAAATTACTAACTTATGTGTTCTTGAGCAAAAAATAAATTGCTATTTTACGAAGCTCTACATTGAACTAAAAGCTCAAGGGTACTACATCAAAACACAATAATTTGAAGAGAGAAAATATGGTTAAACATTTTTATTTTGAACCCAACCACCTTTGAGTCTGACCTTCAAAAAAGAATAAAGATGAATAGATGGCATACTCACTTTTTATTCCAACCCTGCAAAAAAAAAAAAAAAAAAAAAAGGATGCATCAGTTATCAAAAAGCATTTTCTTAGGCCAACATATTACCGCGTTAACAGCACCAACAAAAAAGGGGGAAAAAAAAAAAAAAAAAAAAAAAAAGGATGCATCAGTTATCACAAAGCATTTTCTTAGGCCAACATATTACCGCGTTAACAGCACCAACAAAAAAGGGGGATTTTAATGGGAAAAAAATTAGACTGAAAGGACAAAATGCAGTTGGTAACATATATGAAAAACGATAACAAAACAAAGGGTAGATGAAAGCTATGAACTTACAAGGTAGTGAACGAAGTATTTCCATTCTTTTTTCCTCAACTCAGCCCTTTGAACCTAAAACAGAGTCACGAAAGCTCAAATTTTTCCTCAGTCGTAAACATGAAAAGGGATACAAAAGGCAATTCTTGAAAGAAAAAACCCCGATTCCTTGCTTGATGTATAGCAATTCTAAATTTTCCTCTTTTCAGAGTTTTCTAGGCTACCAAACAAGCACCATTTCTCGAATTCAAAAAACCCTAAGCACAAGACCTAAAGTAAAAAACAACGAGATAATCAAATACTCCCAATCAGCCTCAAGAAGGGGAAAAAATGTACTGAAAGAGCGAATTTCCACAAAAACATGGAAAAGGAAGAACGGAAAACTGAGATAAAGGAAAAAGGAAGGGGAAAGAGAAAGGTGCCTTGGCTTCGTAGATGCGAGGGCCATGGTAGGCGAGGACCTTCTCCCCCTCGGAGAAGAGGCTGGAACTGGACGGAGGAGAGTCGCCGCCGGAGGAGGTGCCGTCGCCGCCGGAGTCTTCCTTGGAGGAGTTTCCCATTTTCCGAGACGGAGAAGATCCCTTGTTAGTTTCAGAATCAGTTTCTTTCTTTTCTTCTCTTTTTTATGTCCGTCTGCAGCCAGCCAGCCAGCGAGCGAGCGCGCACTCGGTTTTTTTAAGTTTTCGCTGCTGCTGTTTCAAACTTCAAGCCAATCTGGATCTGGATCAGGGATTTTTTGGGCCTTCCTTGGATTGGGTTCTGCAATGAGGCGCCCCAAGTCAGGGGCAATCACGTCCAAAGAAAATTAGGTGATGGGCCGCAACTTTGGATTTACCTAAATTTTGATGGGAAAAAGAGAGAAATAGGTTAAGACTTAAGATGAATTAAAATTAATAAGTCAATAGTTTATATAAGTTAATAAATAGGTTAAATTATTATTTTTGTCCATAATTTGTCTAGTTATGAACCATAACTTGACAAGTTATTATCCATAAATCATGATTTTTGTCCATAACTTGTTTAGCTATGAACTATAACTTGACAAGTTTGTCCATAACTTATCTGATTATGAACCATAACTTGACAAGTTATGGCCTATTAACTTTTACAATTAAAAGTTGACCTATATATTTCCTTAAGCTTTTTATATTGGCTATTTTCTACTATTTCTAAATTTATTTTTATTAAGGCACCCAAAATATTTAAAACTTTAATTAATTTTCTTTTTAATATATAAAGCTCACGTAATTTCACAATTATATACACCCCATATCTTTTCATTGAAATTGAAATAAAAATAAATGAAAAAACGGCATCGTTCACTTCGCAGATTCGAGTTTTTAATTTGAGTTGAGATATGATATTTTCTGAGAGCTTTTCACTGTAGCAGAAAAAGTTAGATGTGATATTTTTTGAGAGTTTTTTACTGTAGAAACTTAGAACTGAAAACTCGAATCGGTAAAATGAACGAAGCCAACGTGATTCCAAAGAAGAAGTAGAAGAAGAAAGAAGAAGAATCTAGAGATACTCGTTTAAAACATTTTCGTTTCTCAAGTCTTTTATTTTTCTAGAAATTTGACTGTTGCATCAGGTTTTCTCAAGGTTTTTTCCTCCTTTTTTTCAGTGGTTTTTTTTTCTCTGATTTTTATATAAATCGCAAAGTTGAAAAAAGTTGTCTCCTCTGCAATTCTTCTGAGAGTTGAATAAACAACAAATATGGCCAGTTGATATTTCCTCCTTTTCTTTTTTATTTCCAAAAAGGAAAAAAAAGAAAAAAAAAAACCTATAGAGCAAAATGAGGGAGAGAAGGACAAGATGAACAAGAGGAGGCTTGATCTCGTGTTGTTTCCATGGCAACTGATTTAGACAATTCCTCTACGGCCTCAATGGAAGAAAGCCTTTCTTCCTCCGGAAACCAATGAGCCCCCCCCAATTCACTCCCAAGAAACATATTGCAATGAAAATGAGCCAAAAAAGAAAAAGAAAAAAAAAACGAAAATTCATTCACATGTAAAGATCTTTTATCAAAAACAAAAAGGAAATTATAAATCTTTTTAAGAAAGAATGAGATGTGGAGATGTATGGGGTGTATACAAAGTGTTTGTGGAATTATGTGAGTCTTTCATATTAAAAATAGAAGAAATTTATATTTCAAATATTTTGGGGTGCCTTAATAAAAATTTAGGGGGTGAATAAATATTTTTTTTGAATTTATAAAATTGTAATAATTACACTACATGATAAAATTTTATATTTGAGTTAAAATTTATCAAAATTATCAGAATATCATAAATATAACAAAAATGGCATAGTCATTATCATAATGATGTAATGATATAATAATTATTTTAATGATATCAAAATTTTATTGTTCTTGTAATATCTTAAAAATTTTACTATATTTAAACTCTGTTATTAAAATTTTGATGTATGTGTAAATAGCCCTTTTTAATATATTCGAGAAAAAAAATAAAAAATACCACTCAGAAATTAGAATGTAAAAAATAGTATTTATGTCAACTCATTTAAGAATAAACAACGGTCATTCAAATAATGAGAAGAATACAAAATTCTCTGTATTCTCTGCTAGGGTTTTGCAAGGTTCTTGTTGTGCTGCCTTTACTTTTCTTCCATTAAACCGAAGTTTAGCACCGGCCTTAGGCTAGCTGTTAAATCTTTGGCCTAGGGGAGGGAGCGGTGCACAGGTTCAGTTTTTAGCGGAAGGGACCGCAGCTATAGAATGATCGAATATGTAAAAGTGGTTTATGGTTTACGATTCTCAGCCTTTATGGATTGAGATCGCAACTGTTTGAAGTCGGTGATCAAAGGACGAGGCTGGTTCGTCTAAGGGAGGAGGTCCTTTGGTGTTGGTCGTATTCGCACTTGTTTAGATTGTGGTTATATCTCATCTTTTTCTTTTGCTTAGTCTGCTTTCGTCCAATAAGCGTGACTGAATCTTCGTTGCTTTGACATTATGTAGTTCATTTTTGTATGGTTTTCCCGCAAGAGTCATTTCTTTATGGTGTTTGGCATGGCCTCAGTAGGTCTTTTTCTCTTAACCAATTGGAGTTCTCCATCCATTGTCGAGGTTCATTTCAAAGAGCCAGTTGAATGGTCGATAATTAGTTTGGCTATGTGTTTATCCGTTTATGAAACTAGACATATGTTTTGTTACCTTTCGCGTCATTAGATTGTACTGATGGAACCAATTACTTCTTGTAGTTAAAGTGTCATAAAAGACCGAGATTAGTATTAGTGTGCATACATCTTTAAAGTGGAATACAACTTACCTATTTTTTTATAAAAAAAGAAAAAGAAAATAGAAGGTCATAATGATTCCTTGTGTTGGAACTTTGGGCCGGCAGGCAGGCCTATATGCCGGCCCATCCAAAGTTGTAAATTCGGGCTCGGGCTCGGGCAGCCCGAAGTTGGTCACCACGCCGGAGCCCGCCACCGTGTAGGCGCCATCAACTGCCGTCCGCCGGAGTTTTTTTTGAATTTTTCTAGCTAAGCCCAATTTGCCCGAGAAACGGTCAAAATTTCGACTGTTGGCGCCCGACCCGAAAATAAGCCTGAAAACCCAAATTTTGCCCGAATGCCCGAAAACCCGTCCAATGACTAGTTTTTTTACCGTTGCTGCCCAAACCAGCCGAACCTGACCCGCCGAAACGCTAAAGTAGCAGTTGCACCCGGAATTTTTTGAAAAAAAATTCAATTTTTTAACCCAAAAATTTCTCTATACATACCCCCCATCCCCCACACATTTTTCTCACTCAAAGTCTCTCAATCCCTCTTAATTTCTCTCAATCTCTCTCAATTTCTCTCAATCTCACTCAATCTCTCAAATCTCTATCACAATTTTTCTAAAAACTATCACATTATCCTAAAGCTCTCTCTCTTAAAGCGCTCTTATTTTTTTATAATGGATCCTTTTGGTTATAGTGGTATTCCCGTTGATGCCCAACACAATGTGGAAGAAGGGCAATTTTTCACTAATGAATTGTTACGCATCAATCTACTAATCCGAGCCCTGGTGGACGTACTAGAGGTGGTGGTCGCAACTGTCACGCCCCAGGGTAGGGGTCGGTGACGTGCAACTCGATTAGGGGGTTAAACGCATGATAATAAAGAAAATTCTCAACGAGCCCCACACTTAATTAAAATAAATTGCAAGGGAGAGACTAAAACTCAAGCTTTTCACACTGTACTAAACTCAGGATCTATCCACAGGATCTTCATTATCGTACATACATGACATGTAAATAAAACATTACAGACATCAACCACAGTCTAGAAATTCAAATATTAGAGTTTACAAATTCTTACATATATCCAAGAGGATGAACACAATCCTCACTTGATTGAATGGTAGAAAATAATCCAACTACTCCGCACCGGTCCTAGAGTCGCCTGAGAGGGGTTTAATATATATATATATATATAACAATAAAACGTGAACGAAAGGCCCAGTAAGATATAATTTAAAATAACTTTATAGATAAATGAATAAATAAATAAGCGAGTAAATAAATAAATGACTAAGTAAATAAAATAAGACATTCAGTCCCGACACAACAGCCGGAACCTCACATCCTTTTTCTCAAAGGAAATATATCTGAAAATATATCCGTATTCCAGGCATCAACAAGTAATTTATACTATGATAAATTACTTACACAACCACATGCACAAGCCATATCACCCCCAAGGATGCACTCTCCATATCCTATTTTGACCATCAGCCGATTTACCAATTCGCAAGATCACTTGTCCTAAGAAATCATTTATTAAACTTTATGAAATCATTCATTATAATCTCATGAACTATAACAAGCCATGAGTCCCATGAACTACAACAAGCCATGGTCTCATGTACTACAACAAGCCATGGGTACCATGAACTACACAAGCCATGGGTTTTAAATATTTTTCTTTCGCAAACAAGCCCCTTTCTTTAAAACATTTACAAGGTCAAAACTCTTTTTAAAATCAGGCTCACAAGGAAAAAGGAGAAGAAATCCTACCTCGTAAATATCAAACCTGTGGCTAGTGGTGCACTAGTCTGGCTTCCGCTTCCTCAAGCCACTCAATCCGAGTCCTCAGCTAATACTGATACAAGACAATACTTTAGGATTCAATGCTCATTCATAAAGTAATTCAATCTCAATTATATACCAAGATTTCCTATTAGTGTGCCCTAATCAATTTCATGTTTCAAATCACCATTCCAAGGATTTTCAATCTCAAAATATGGATTAAATATGCTAATCCATCTACTCTAGGTCCCAAATGAAGCTAATTTGGGTCATCCTTGAAAACAGATGTCAAAACAGCATTTTTAGGCCAAACAGGGTCAAACCCCATGTATACCAGCCGACCGGTGACAGAGCAGTGCAACACCACCGGTCACTGGTGGTGTACAATCCGGTCGACCAGTGGGGCCAATGCAATCCGGTCGACCGCACAGGTCGACCGGTGAAGAACACCAGTGCGAGAAACTTGCAAAATCAGTTTGAAAACCTACAAATCCAGTCCCAAAATCAAAATATCTCAAAGGACAACACCTGAATCCGGGTTCTAGGTACTAAATCAAGTCTAAAGAACCCGAGATCCCCAATTTCTACCATATTTTTAGTCAAAATCCATCAAAATCTATT